AAGAGCGGTGGTCAAGACAGACACGGTCGCTGCCCTCCTGGAGCTGACATTCTCAGAGGGCACGCAGAATGCATCAGGCAGACACACAAACTAAAAGGTTACAGATGATGCCAAAGAAGGAAATGGGGTGATATGCTATGGCAGAGGAAATGGATCAGGGGCCTGCTCCTCTGTGCGGTGACATCTGAGCTGACACCTGAAGGATGAGAAGGCGCTGACCCTCCAAAGCTCTGGAAGGAAACAAGCTCCAGGGAGGGGGTGGATAACGCCAAGGTCTTGACGCAGGACTGAGCTAACACATCAAGTGCCCAATGGTATCAGTTAACTATACTGACCAAATTGTTGTTTATTCCATCCCTAAGCTACCCAGTTTGGTTCTGTTTCATTTTACAGAAACAGCTAACACTAATTATGTTGGCTAAATAATGTCGCTCCACCAAGATGTCCACATCCTAATCTCTGGAACCTGTGGATCTGTCACCCCATGTGGCAAAGAGGACTTCGCAGATGTGATTACGTTAGGATTTTGAGATGGAGAGGCTATCCTGGATTACATGGGGTGGGGGGGTGGGGGTCCAACGTAACCACAGGGGTCCTCTTAAGATGGAAGCAGAGGAAGAGAGGAGAGGTGACGACAGAAGTAGGGTCACAGTCAGAGGGAGGCTGGAAGATGCTACACCGTTGGCTGTGGAAACGGGGGAAGGGGCCACAAGCCAAGGAAACTGGGCGGTCTCTAGAAGCTGAAAAAGGCAAGGAAACTGATTCTTTCCTAGAGGCTCCAGAGGGTGCAGCCTTGTACACCTTGCTTCCAGCCCAGTAAAATCCATCTTGGACTTCTGACCTCCAGAAATATAAAGTAATAAACCTGTGTTGTTGTAAGCCACTAAATTTGTGGTCACTTGTTACAGCAGCCAGAGGAAACTCATACACTTACTGACCACCGATTCTGTATGCACGGTTCTGTCCTAAAGCGAGGCATGTTTTAACTCTTTAGTCCCCACAACGACTCTATGAGACATTATTCTCATTTTATAGATGAGGAAACTGAGGCCCAGAGAGCTTAAGTAACCTGCCAGTTAATAAATGGTTTCTGTTGGTCCCAATAGAGAACTGGGGTAGAGAGACTGACGATGCACCTGATATAACACTCAGGATAGTATCACAAAAATAATGTAGCGTGACCTCCTAAGAATGGGCTAGAGGGCTTCCCTGGTGGCGCAGTGGTTGAGAGTCCGCCTGCCGATGCAGGGGATACGGGTTCGTGCCCCGGTCTGGGAAGATCCCGCATGCCGTGGAGCGGCTGGGCCCGTGAGCCATGGCCGTTGAGCCTGCTCGTCCGGAGCCTGTGCTCCACAACGGGAGAGGCCACAACAGTGAGAGGTACCCATACCGCAAAAAAAAAAAAAAAAAAAAAAAAAAGAATGGGCTAGAAGGATGCTCTCTCCACAGGACGTACTTACCCACACACATACACATAACTCACACACCCTGCCTCATTCCTAAAAGCAGTTAATTATGGGTGGAGGGACTTCCCTGGTGGTCCAGTGGGTAAGACTCCACGCTCCCAATGCAGGGGGCCCAGGTTTGATCCCTGGTTGGGGAACTAGATCCCGCATGCCGCCACTAAAGGTCCCGCATGCCGCAACGAAGATCCCGTGTGCCACAACTAAGACCCAGTGCAGCCAAAATAAATAAATAAATAATTTTGTTTGTTTGTTTTAATCTGTTTTTTAAAAAAAATTATGGGTGGAGATAACAGTTCTCATACAGGGCAGCTTCCCTCAGTGGTTGGCACCTTAGGCATGAACACTGGGACTGGTGAAGGGCAGGGCTACAGAAATAGCCGACAAAGGTTCTTCTGCACAGAGGGGCATGTGGCAGAGCCCACTGCTGCCCCACTGTCCGATTTTTGTTGCCTTAGTAACGGGGTTGCAGGAGCTGGTTGTCAGAGAGCACTGGCGTCCTACCAGCAGGTGAAAGTTCTGCTTTCCACTGCCCCAGACTACTTCCCTGCCTAAAAGAGGTCAGTTTCCTGTAGCAGCTCAGGTCTCTCTCCTCACAGCTCCCAGCCCAGTGACAGGGGGTGGCGTGATGGTGCTGGCTCGCTGTACCCCGGTGACGGCTCCCAACACACATACTGTAGGGCAGCCAAGTGAGTCAACACCCAGAGTCATGCAGCTGTGTTCAAAATCTGACCTTGCCACTCACTCACTCTGTAAGCCTCGATTTCCTCATCTGTAAAATGGGGATAATTCTCAACCTACTTCCAAGAGTGCTTATGAGGATTAAGTGAGATAACCCACGGGAAGTCCTTATCACAGTGCCTGGCACATCATGAGGGTTCAATAAATGTCAACCGTCACTACTATCATTGTGGCTTCTATCATCATTACCTTTGCAACGGTGTGAGCAGCACATGCCTCGCAGGCCTAAAACCCGTGCTTGAAACAGTGAAACTTGGGACTTCCCTGGTGATCCAGTGGTTAAGAACCCGCCTTCCAATGCAGGGGACACAGGTTCGATCCCTGGTCGGGGAACTAAGATCCCACATGCCACGGGGCGACTAAGCCCACGTGCCACAACTAAGACCCGACGCAGCCAAGTAAATAAATAAATACTAAAAAAAAAGAGAGCGAAAGAAAGAAATAGTGAAACTCAGGGGGCTGAATTTGCTCCATGCTATTATTCACATTAGAACAAATGTTGATTATTCACAGAAATGGGCACCGGGGACTGAAATCCAGAAATAAATCTTTTTTTAAAATCTCACTTTGGGCTAAAAATTTTAACCAAGTTCTGCTCCTCTCACTGGCCAATTTTCTACCTAAATCGAGTCAAAACACATACAAACACATTTTTTTTTTTAACCTGAGATGAAATGGGTTGCTTGGCACGGCCTTGAGTTGCCTTCGCTATTTCCTTTATTCCTGATGTTATTCTGGTGGGTGGGCTAGAGAAGACCCGACCACCCAAGGAGGGAGGGATGATCCACAGACCGGGTCCCCGGTCCTTCAGTCATCAGAAGTCACTCACACTGACACAAGTCAGGGATGACAAGAGGGGCCATGGCTCTCTGGGCCTGAGCACAAAACCAGCACCCTTGGAGAAGAACGATTACATGGGTGCATGATGATGGCATAGGAGGTGGCTCTCAAAACTTGATGACACGTGGAGGGCAGGCTCCAGAGGGGTGTGAAGTGTGCTCCTGTGGGTACAAAGCCCACTGCTTATTCACCCAAAAATAGCCTTTCTAGGTCACCTGTTAACAGGGCCCAGAATCAGGGAGATGCGCAGCCCCCATTCACTGACACGCGCAGGAGACGATGCACCAGCCCCTCCCCGTCACCGGAGTCCAACTCCCTCATTCTGCTATTTTGATGCTTGACAAATGTTCACTGTTTAGAAGTTCTAAGTATGGCAATTAAGTCTCTTCAGAATAAAGGTGCTAAAGAAATCTTTTTTTTTTTTTTTTTAGAATAAATAAAATTTACATCTAAAAAAAAGAGCTGGGGGCTTCTCTAGTGGCGCAGTGGTTAAGAATCCACCTGCCAAGGCAGGGGTCAAGGGTTCGATCCCTGGTCTGGGAAGATCCCACATGCCGCGGAGCAACTAAGTCCGTGCACCACAACTACTGAGCCTGCGCTCTAGAGCCCACAAGCCACAACTACTGAAGCCCGCGCACCTAGAGCCCATGCTCTGCAACAAGAGAAGCCACTGCAATGAGAAGCCTGCACACCTCAACAAAGAGTAGCCCCCGCTCGCTGCAACTAGAGAAAGCCCACGCGCAGCAACCAAGACCCAACGCAGCCTAAATAAATAAATAATAAATAAATTTATTTTTAAAAAGCTATGCTAAGTTTGCTGTGACTAAACCCAGGTTGTAGCAACAATCCCGTAAACAGTAACGGGATTGGAGGATGAGGCTGGGGGATGAGAAGGGGGAAAGGTCACTGCAGCTTTCTAGGATGGCTCCGGTCTTCAGATGGGCTACACATTAGAATCACTTGAAGAGCTTTTTAAAAATTACCGATGTCAGCCAGTGAAAACACTCGTATGACAGTATAATAGTGGATACACGTTATCGTACCATTGTCCTTACTCACAGAATGTACACCACCAAGAGTGAACCCTAAATAGGGAGGTTCAGTGATTGTAACAAAGGCACCCCTCTGGGGGGGATGTTGATAACGCAGGAGGCTGTGCATGAGTGGGGGGCAGGGGGCATATGGTAAATCTCTGTCCCTCTTGCTAGTATTGCTGTGAGCCTAAAACTGTTCTAAAAAAACTAAAGTTAAAAAAAATAAACTGATATCCAGGGCCCAACCAGACCAATTAAAT